AGAAACCACGCAAAAACGCATGATCGCACCAGCAACTTTGGGTAAGTAATGTTGCTGCAGTAGTGAATGGAACAGATTTGCTTTAATGCCCATATGCCTATAAATTTGGGCTATCACAGAAATGTTTTTCGGACTGCAAAATGCAACATAATATTTAGTGCGAAAGAAACACGGGGAGATTTTTGGGCGAAATAGAAAAGTATGGGCGCAAAAAAATTTATTAGACTGTCAAAATTGAAAGTGAACAGAGAATGGGTGCAAAGAAATTTATTTCTTATACTGTTAAAACTGACATTGAACAAAGGTGGTATAAGAAAGCTCTAGTATTTCACTGTTGGAAAATAACCAAATAATTTTATCCATCAGAGAAACACCGATATGTGACGAAATCTTATCAGAGCCTCGATTCTAAACTTAAATCCAAAGCCTACAGTACGAACAATTTCTGACAACCGCTCATTTGTAAAAGTGTGAGCAGTAGAAAAAAGGGCGATTCGGTCCGAAAGTGATTATGTTCAAGTTTGATGCTGTCACTGCTATTTTTAATGCGTTTTTTTCGCTGAAAGTCGTTTGAAATAACAAAGTGCTCCGGGGTGTTGGTGCTGCAGTGGAATTCTCTTACAAAGCTTTTGCGAGTTCGTAATCGGTAGCTGCCACAAAACATAGTAAATTCGTTTTTTCGTCACGATAACTTTTTGATCTATTTATTGGGTGACATTATGTAACTTTTTAACAGACAAAGAACTGGAACATCATACTATGTACTACGGCAATGTCGCAAGTAGCGCCAAATGCAGAAATATGAGTTAAATTGCGGTTTTTGGATTCGTATATGGCCGACGATGTTTCAGTTTCTAATTGTCTTATTCCTAGGGTTAAAATGTGTGCTTGAAAGAATGGGGGAACACGCGCTGTATCAGTGTTCTAAAAACATATTCAAAAATTGAACTGTCAAATAATAATTTTTCAATTTTGTTTAATTTATAAAATTAGCACGAAAAGGTTGGTTAAAGCTATTACCATCTTAGATGTAAGTATTCGAAAATGGATTTGGAAATTATCCTGGATGCATCCACTAGTCGTCAGCAAGTATTTGAGCATCAACGTGAGCTGGCACTTTCGCTGATCGAACGCTTACCTATTGATGCTGACGCAACTCATGTTGCTGTTGGGATTAATTCATTTACTTCGGTACCAACACTGCGCCAAACGCTTGGTCTGGGAAGAGATAAACAGGTTAGAACTTTGCAGTGGTATTTTCTGTTAGATTTACATTGCCTCAGTGCATCAAAAGCACCTCTTTACCTCTTTCCTCTGCTAAGGGAAATTTACGTTTTTTTTTTTCTTTCAGATGGTGCGTCACGCCATCGAAGACATAAAGTATAACGGAGGAAGTACTTTTACGGCTCAAGCGGTCGAATTGTCTGTT